ATTAGTACATATGAAATAATATAGAAAAAATATTCATTGTTCAGTTTATAATTATGTACACTTTTGGACATCTCTTTCCGGTCTCTTTTCCATGTGAATTGTATGAATGTTTACATATGTATAAATATGTATGTGTGTATATTTAGATGTATATATATACACACATAATATATGCATATAAACATGTAAGAAGAAAACTTTTGAGTTTTTCATTGGAATCACTTATTAGGTGAAAGTGTTGATACCGTCTAGTTCTAATCAGATAGACACTTCAATACTCAACCACAATAAAATCTTTTTTTCTACTGATGTTATTCAATTCATTGAAATTATCAATAATTTATTAACAATCCGGTTAATGCAGTCATTGGAGAAGGTCAGACAGACACTACTCACTTTAATTTGCAAAGGTCAGTTTTGTATAAGACAAAAAGAAACACGCTCTAAAAAGATTTTATTTATAATTTAAGAAAATAAAGCGTAAGATTTTTTTTCAGAATCTAATCAAAAGATTGTTTCTATAATTATGGTTTTGATGGCAAAATATTTTTATGTGATTAACATTTCAGATTAGCAAATTGGAACAAACAATATAAAAAACAAAGCTCATTCATAAAGCCAAGTTCTCTCCTTTACTAAAGTGAAAAAAAAAAAAAAACAGAGACAGAGAGCTCATATTATGTTGGCCCAGCTCAAGGGAGTTTAATGTAATTTTAATAACTGCAGTTGTTAATATTTTATATATAGTATTTTAATTAAGTTTGGTATTTGCACACAACATTGGTTTGGTATACAGCAGCCTTTTAAAACTGGAATGAATGGCTAAACTAGCTTTTGTTTTACTTAAACGATATTTCTAATTTGGAGTGAAGAAATGCTAAGACTCATAGCCCAGTTAAAACTAAGAATTTCAAAAAATATTTTTATTTATTTGTCATATCAGTAACATTCAGAGACTATATGAAAATGATTTTTCATATAACACAGTCCTGTTGTGTCAGCAGGTCAAAATGGGCTGCTTACTGTCTTGTGGGTGATGAAGCATGTATGTAGTATTTCCTTGGGGTTCTCTATAGCTGAATATTTTTGAAATATTTGTGATTAAATTAAAGGGAATCCAAGTCTAAAAGGTATCCTTTCTGCTGCTGACCATATTGGTTAACCATACTAAATAAGTAAAGAATATAATGAAGCAATGGTCATTAATTTAACACCAATATAACTATTGGTTATCTTCATCAAAGATAATATTTAAGTCAGATTTAATGGATATTACTGAAATTTTAGTATTTCCCAAACAATTTATAAGGTAAACTCATCAATGAATAGAAATATCTTATTTATTTTTAAATCCACAGTTCCTAATACTTTCTTGGCCATAGTAGTTGCTCCATGCATAAAGATAAGGAAGAAAAACATGTGAATAGTGCAATATCAAAAATCTCCTAATAAAAAATAGTGTTGCCAAGGATTTAGCTCAGTGGTTTCAATGCCTGCTACGCAAGCACAAGGACCTGAGTTCGATCCCCGGTACCAAAAAAAAAAAAAAAAGTAAAAAATAGTGTAGCATTATTTTTAAATTTAAAGAATAATAGGACTTTTAGTTGTAAATCTAATTCTTTCAATGTAAAAATTTGTTTAAATTACATTATTTCTTGAAAACAGCTTATGGAATATAGGATATCAGGTTCTGTCCGTTTATGAACATATACTGCCCTTCAAGCTCAGATATCTGAGATAATGGATTGAGAAAGGTAAATAATTGTTAGAAAACTTTGTAAACCTTGTACAAAAATGACAAGCTTCTAAAAGAACAGGACTTCTCATGTCTGCTTTTTCATAAGATCCCTGTATCATTTAGCAAGCATGTAGG